TGATTTGAACTATTGAGAACGCTTTTGTGAATTTTGAACTTACATTGTATAAAATTTTGAACATATTAAAAAAAAATCACCAGTAAGTGCAGTAAAACGACACAAACTCTTTTAAATATCAAACATAATTCCAACAAGCGGACAATGTTTTTATTTTACAAAGGGAAAAATCATCAAAAATCTTGATAATGGATTAATAATTGAAGTTCGTAGATATATTGAAGAGAAGTTAGTTGGGATGTTCAGTCAAACAAATAACAAAGTAAAAATAAATAAATAAAATTTATTTCTATTTAAGTTTCAGGCCTTCGTCTGCGCTAAGAAAATACAAGATAACATAAATGTGAGAAACTAGTAGACGGTAAAAGTAATAATAGGTAAATAAAAGGTATAGACTAATAACTAATAGATAGAGTAAGCTTGACATTAATAAATGTGTGGAAAGGCAAGAATATTAATAAAGGTATAAAATAGCGGGGACAAAGTTAAGAATAGAAAGTAGTGGAAGCATTATTAATATTGGCAATATAAACAAATAATATAATATTATTAGCAAATTAATAATATTGATAAACGTCGGAAAAATAAACATTAATTTAATTTATTTTTACTTCGTTATCTTTTTTACTGAACACCCCAACAAATCTCTCTTCAATAATTCAAAATTCTTATTTATTTAAAAATAAGGTTTATTAACTATAAGGTTTATTAACTTAATTTATTTATTTAAGGTTATGAAATGTCGCTAAACAGACTAGGAGCTACCGACTAGTTAATTTAACTGCAGGACTTATAGCTAGTAACCATTTTAAATTCTAGATAAACCACATCTAAACACACAATTTCGGTCTGTCGAAAATTGAAATAAAGAGGAGAAATTTGAGAGTTTATTTAACGTAAGATCATATGACTGAAATTTTGATATGATGTCAAGGATGAGTCCCTAAACGATAATTCACCTTGACTGATGATATACTCGGCTGCGTTTTGAAAACTGAAGACGTCAAAGTCATCAAATTAGGCCAGTCGGGTGCAGAGATGGGCAAATGCTACTCTGAGTACCGAGTTCTATTTTTCTCAAATTGAATCACTATTAGGAATTTAATCACTATTCACCCATCTCTGGTCGGATGTTAGTTGAATGAGGATAAATATCATATATAGTTCGTTTCTTATGTTTTTTGGGTTGTTGAATTTAAATTTGATGTTCCCGAACGAAATTTTCCATTTCGTTCCGGGATAGATGCAAACAGCGAAATTTTCGAACTTTTTTTAGTTTTTTGGATAAGACTCGGAAACTATACATTTTATCGAAATTATTATCGTATACAAAGTTAAAGAGGATAAAATGCATTATCAAGTTCATAAATAGATTTATTATGTAGGGCCAACGGGTGATGATTTGGACAATGTTGACTGCTTATTTCTCAAAAAATGTTTGTTTTCTTCCGTTTTCCTACCGAAACTCATAATCTTGTATCTCTGGAAGAAATACATTATAATCAATGTGAAGGAGCATTACATTACCTATGTAGCTCATGTAGACACGTTAATGTGTGAGAGGATTAATCAGCTTTTAAAGCGCATAGAATCCAAGACATATTTCCCTTGTAGTATCTGCCGCTCTCAGCTTAAGTGCATTTTATCTTATCCATTTTAACTAGACTAATTTAACTATTTTATAAAATAACTAAATATACAAATAAATTACATAGCTTTTATATATTCTGTTAGCGAGAGACTTCAACATCCATAACAATCATCAAAAAATTAAGGACCAAAATGGGCTTCAAAGTCTAAGCGGTCCAACGATATTTCGCCTATTTACATATTACGATTCTACATAAGCTTTAATTAAATTGAAAGTGCATCAACATTTGTATTGAGCTCGGGTACAATCGTTAATTTACGAAAAGTTAACAAGCCATTAGACAGATCGAACTTAGAAGTGCATTTCAGTTCTTAAGTTTTTGGCTATTATGAATTTTGATGTCTCTCATACTAATAGAATATCTAAAAGCTATGTCATTTATTTATCTATTCTAGTTTTGTTATAAATATACTTAAATTAGCCGAATCAAAAACTTTGAGAAGATAAAAAGCGCTGAAGTTAAGAGTGACCTATACTGTGAGGAAATACGTTTTAAATTCTATGCACTTTTCACATAATAACGTGTCTACATGAGGTATACAGATAATTAATTGCTCTTTCAGACGAAAACAGACATTTTTCGTGAAATAAGAAGTCTACATTCTCTTAAATTCTCACCCATCGTTCATAAACAAAAAAGCTAATTGTATAGTAAATTATTTAATACAAATTTATAGTAAATTTTATCTTCTTTTTGCATAATAATAATTTTGATAAAATGCGTAATTTTCGAGTCATGTCCGAAAAACTAAAAAAAGTTCGTAAATGTCTTTTTTTGCATATATTTCGAAATGCAACGAAAGACTTCCTTTCGGGACATCAAATTAGAATCAGCATCCATAAAAACACTTAAAAAACAAAGAGAAACCAACTATTTGAATTTTTTATCTACCTACCATCCGACTGGCCTAATATGATGACTTTGATGTACTCAGTTTTCAAAACGCAACCGAGTACATTGTCAGTCAAGATGAATTCTCTTTTAGGGACATATTCATTACATTATATTAAAATGTCAGCCCTCAGTTCTTCCGTTAAATGAACCCTCAAATTTCGCCTATTTATTTTAATTTCTTTATAGAAAGCTAGGGCTATGGACCGACTGACCGAAGTTATGTGTTATCAAGAATTTAAAACGGTTAATAGTCCTATCTATAAGTCCTTCCGTTAAATGAAATGGTCGGCTGCTCCTAGTCTTAAAGGACTTGTTGCATTTAACCGACGACATTTTTCCTCATTCATTTAGTTGTCTGGGATAAAGGCATTTCACTACAAGTTGAATTTTGGAAATCGTAGTACTTGAGGAAAATTGCAATTTTTTTAATTTTGATTGCAGGAAAATTTGATTTTTTTTTTAGAAAAATTAAATAATGGACTAAAAATATTTATATTTTATTATTCAATAGTTATTTGATTTTTCTTTTCTCAGATTAAACCTGACCTTGATATATTATTTGACATTACGAGTATAGAGAAATTATGAAGTTGCAAGAAACCAAAAGGATCCAAAATTAATTGTTTTATTTATACATCTAAAAAAACAAACCTCCAGAAGTATAATAATCCATTGAATACGTACACTCTTTAATATTTTTATTGTAAAATTTTAAGTTCCCAATTTAATGTTTCTTAGAAAATTAGAATTTTTTTTTAAGTTGAGAGTGTTAAGAATATGATTTAAGAGACTAGTAGGTGTGTATTACAATAAAAATGATTCGATAGGTCAAATCTAAATTAGATGGTTCGAATAGTAAAATAAACGATATAATATCCTTGAAAACTTGAATTATCTTTATTTTAATCTAACACTTTTGCTACGTTATATAATATAATAAAATAAATATATGTTTAAAATTTATTTTTAACTCAATTTATCAAAATGTTTGATTTGAAATATATATATACGTATTTTCTAGTTGACAAATTGTTTCTTTGAATTATATGGTATTTATTTTTATTTATACATAATTTTTGCCAGCTTATTACAAAAAATGTATAACTACTTTTGGGAACACTCAAGATTATTTTTATTTCATAAGCCAATGAGATAAAATTTTAAAAACATGAAGTATTTACCAAATCACGCTATTTCTTCGACTTAAGATAAGAAAATCGTATTTTTGAGAAGAGACCCTACTAATTAGAAGAACATGAAGACTGTTATCGAGACCTCGCATCTACCCAATAGAAGACCATGCCACTTTTATCATTGATATGACCTCCAACCGGCCATCTAGTTCAATTTATTTATTTCTCTTCAGAAACAGCCAAGCCGCACTCTCTTTCTATATCTCTCTCTCTAACAGAGAAAAATATAGGCACTCCACGTTTAAACATTACGATAAACTATTTCTTTCCTTGCATTTATTCCATTTATTAATACCATGCAGTTAGCTCAATACAGCATCAAATCACGTTTGGTACAAGCAATAAAGTGAAGTTTTTAATATTAAGTTTTATAACATTTGACCATCGATTAATGAAAAATAAATGAAGATAAAAAATGATGAAATATCAACAGAAACTTAAAAAGAAGTATGGCATATGGAACATCCGAGTTAAAAGTAAACTTAAACTTAAACACCAATTAGAATTCAATAACATTAAACATTAATTACAAACAACATATATAATGAATGGTCAACAAAATATCTAACAGAAACAAGGGCTATCTGTAGAACAAAAAAAAAAAAAGAAAAAAAAAGAATGTATGTAAATAATAGGTAGAGCAAACGATTTGAAAATCCATCTATTAAGAAATAAAATTATAACAAAAAAGCATTAACTCAAAACTTGCACAGAACATTTAAGTTGCACATACGATACAAATTTTAGTTCATTTTTAAAACTACTTTTATTTTGCTTGACAGGAACAGAACATTTTGACGAACTACAAACGAAATGACGACAAACAAAAAACAGTCAAACAAATTTTTTTTTTTAAAGTGAGATAACAAAGATGTACAACAACCATATGTGATATGATCTGAACTAGTTCTGTACCTGGATTCCGGTTCTTTCCACCCTGACGTGGTTGAAGAACTCCAAAACATCTTTTCCAAAAAGTATTATACAATTTGAGGAAGTTACGAATGTAAAAAAAAAAAATGTTAACCGATCGCCTGACAATGGCCTTTAGACAAGATTATGACAGTAAATATATTTTACGTTTTCGTCAATCGAAAATTCTGCTCTTAAAAATCTGTTGAATCCGTTCTTGCGCTTCCGGGTGAGGTGCAGACATTTGTAAGAAGTCTGTCAAATGTCAACCGGCAAAATGATAAGGGAGGGGGAGAGATGTGTAGGTTCCTTAAAAGCTCTGCAAAGGGTCTACAGTGATGTTACTTACTGCAAGTCAGCCTCGCAACACACTCAGCTCCCTTCTTATCACTAACAGCCAAGGCAAGGGTCGAATGCACCGGATGTCACAAGTCTCAAGGAAGATCAAGATATAATTACGAAGAAAAACTGGGACTGAACCGCACGATATCACTTAACCCTTTGGCTTACTGGACGCCATTGTTGTTTATTGATTTTGCTTTGGGGAACAGCGCATTCAACGGGACGCCAGTGAACTTCACTGGGGCTTAACATACAGTTGTACAGGGGGCAGCACTAGTCAGCAACTTCCATAAGTCATTTTCATCTCAATGTTAATCAATCAATGACAGAATCATCTCACAATTTAAAAACTGTATAAACTTAATTCTACCAACAAAAAATATCAAATAATTTTAAATCTTATAAATATACTATGTGTCTCACAGTAAATTTGTATCTTTGGTATTTTTTCCATCTATTTACTTAATATAAAAGTCAGAATCTAAATATCAACAATTTTCTTTTTCTTTTTTATAAATCTCAGAAAGTCAATTATTTAATTTTAATAAGCTGAGTACATTTCCACAATCTTTTTTTTTTTTAATAAGCTGATGTTTCAGGGTAATTGAATTGACGATTTCAGATAATGGTTAAATTTTCTTCTTTTTTTTAATGATGGATCAATACATTTGAAATCAACCAATGATGGTTGCTGAAAAATTTGTTTATTTTTTTTTAACTATATTTTTACTAAATTCAGAGATTTGAAAAGGTATTCTTTATTATCAGAAATGCTTAGTTATTTTTTTAATGTTCGGTTTGTGTTGTGTTTTTAATTCTGTAGTTCATTAATTATTTAAAAATATTAAATTAAAACAAAGTTTTGTTAATGAGTAGGTCATGTACAATATTTTCTGTCCAGTATTTATAGAACTCTACTTAACTGTTTAAAAAAAATAAGGAGAACATTAACAGTTTCAAACTAAACACCTCTTTAAAAATTGAAAATTGTGAAGATTTTTTTTTTATGGATATGCTATTTGTAATATACTACTCCAGTAAATGGTTTCAGGCCTGAGAGTTACATCTTATTCAGTAATGGGTCTTCAAATAGTGTGATTTATCTAAAATTGAGCGTACTATATAAAAAACATTTAAGATATGACTTTATAATGCAAATATTTCAGAAAACATAATTTAATTGCGTTGAATAAGTAGTTCAAACTTCTTCAATGAAACAATTAGTTTTTAGTTATAAACATTTTTTTAGTTAAACAGTTTGGAAAACATAATCTTATTAAAAAAAAGAGGTTAAAATTTCAACTCCGACTTTATGAATTTTTAGTCTGAAATTTTGAATATAGATAAAATAATTATAAAATTAGTTATTTTAAATCTGAAATATTTCAGAAGGGATACATTTTTAAAATCCAAAATTTTAAGACATCATTATTTTATGGTGTTCCAATCGCAGGTTAAAATTTTAAAACTGAGGCTATATTCTATACTCCGGAATTTTTAAATATAACTCAAATTTGGAGAAGCTGTAACAAACATTACATTCTTACAATAAAAAATTACTTAATTATTTTAAATTTAGTGATCTTTACCATCTTTAATTTAAAAGAAGGCCTTTAATTTGACAATGTTAACATTTACTGGATAGAAGGGATGGCCAAGAACGTTGGGACGTGGGTACCAAAGTGCCCAGCTCTGAATGTTATGGGTTTGATTCCCATCTGGGTCGGTTAATTTTCATTTCTTGGTGGCCTCAGAAAATGGATCTTGACATTTCCATTCTGGTAAGTACACGTTAGGAGCCTCAATATAGCCGTCATGGATTGGCAAAAAGGACCACGAAAGGGTCCACTTACCAGACTAGTTCTCCCCACCCTAGTGGGTTCTCCCCAGACTAGTGGCAGTAGCAATACCAGTCCCAGTTAGCATTTATCTATTCATCTATTTTTAGAGTTTTATATTAAGTAACATAGATGTATCTGGACTAAATAGTACTTTTAAAAAAAAAAATGTTTAAATGTATTTATTTATGATATAGGGAGGGAGCTCAGTGGTAGGGTAGTGAGCTTCCAATGCTAAAGGTACCAGGTTCAAATCCCGGCTCATGACATAAAATTTATTTATTTTGTTTTATTGTCTGTATGGCGACCCGGGTCGGGAAACCATCCTGGGGTACACCCAGTCTCTATAAAGTGTGTACTTTTAATTAAATAATTTAATTAAGGGAAATCCTGGCAGTTGAGCGTGATCTTGGTCAAATCACCTCCTTGCACAACGGTTGACCTAGAAACAGTGCTTTCTCTAAGTAGTATTGAACTCAAGGCTCTTCATGGGTTGTAGTGGTACAGGTTTTTTTATTTTTTATGTGTGATATTTACAAATGTATTAAAATAAAAATACATCTAGTAAATGTGTACACAGGAATAATATAATCACAAGATAATGCTTGTTGAGAAAATACCCAATGGTGGCACTCTAATAATATATTTACAGTAGAAGATCACGAGGCTTTCAAGAAGATCAGACGCCTTGGAGGGTTATCAGGAATTGAGGAAGAAGCAAGGAGGAAACGAGAGGATTCGGATGGTTTTGAAGTTTGTTATGGAGGGATAGGTGTCTGGATTGGCCTAAATTGGAAACATATGGTACGTTACGGTCATTATGGATGACTTTATTTGTGACATGTATTGAGGATTGTAAGGACTGGATACAAGAGGAATTTGATGGTTTAATGTTGCAACAAAAATCAATTCTGTAGGTCCAAATAAATAGGCCTTATTATAGTCTAGTATATGAATTTTTTTGTAATATATTGAGAGTTTGTCTGGTAAGTGCTGGAGTAGTTGAAAACGTCTAACTTTTCTTGTCGTTTCAGTCTTGTATGAGGATTCAAGTGAGTGTTTGTCCAGATGGAGTCCTAGGTATCGGATTTGTTCAACAGGGATAAGTGGAGAATTGTTAAAGGATACTGTAGGACAGGAAGTCATAGGTTTACAACAAAGAGTAAAGTTAATTTGACGGGATTTATTGGACTTTATTTTAATTCTCCAGTTTTGACACCATTCTTCAAGGTTTTTGATATGTGATTGAAGAGTATGGGATGCAATTGATGGATCTTAAAATTCAAAAATTCTTCCTACAAAATTGCGAGATTAACACAAACCTCTGTAAAATGTAAAATAGTGCGACAAACCAATGTGAAATGGCTGTCCCAAAAAATTTGAGCATCTAAGAAGGTACAATGTATTATCGAAGAACTGTTATGGGAATTATCTTCAATTCTCTGAATACAAAACAAAGAAAATAAAAATTGATGATTTTTAGCAACATTTTTAAATTAAATTGGTCAATTTGAAATGGATTAATCCTAATATGACAATATAATTTTTATTAGTTATATAGACATACAATTATGAGATTCTAATTTATTAGATAAGTTTTATTAATTAACAAAATGGAATGAATTAATTATATATATATAATTAATTAATTCTACTATGTATACGTACATATATATGTTAAGCTGGACAAACAACAACAAGAAGTTACTGAAACATTATGACATATAACCAGAGAAATATTTATTTGAATTATAAAAAAAATTAGTATATCATATTCAATTCCAAGACTATCATTTTATACTAATATAATTATTTTAAACTATAAATAAAAGAACATTGATATTAAGAAATAGATCTTACCTGGTTTTTGATTTTGTTGATCAAAAACGAACAGTGGGTTGGTAACAGATATGATATAGGTAGACCGAGAGGAACATTTTAGGAAGATTGGTTACATAGTAGTTTTAAAAGTTTTTTTTTTATGATATATAATATAAAACTAGTAGCTAGTGAATTCAGTGCCAAGGTTGAAAAAGAGACAGGAAGAGAAGAGAATGTTGGTGATCGAAGAAAAAGAGACAACAAAGTAATTCTGGCTTAAGATTTGCAAATTAGGCCAGATTTTTTTTTTTTTTTAGAGATTCAGTGCTACTAGAAAACCATTTAAGAAGATAATAATAATACCCTTTATTTGTGCATACAATGAAAAAACAATAGATAAAACTATACAAAATCTCTTATATGTACAAAATCAACATTTAAGTAGATACCAACTATAAAAAATGCCAAAAAAGAACCTTACTGACTGGTGATAAAGCTTGGATTTTGGAATGGAAGAAATAGTTTGAAACTCTATTGGACAGAAATGAAGAGAGAGATGAGTATACTGCTGAAAATCCGCTTTGATGAGGTGAATTTGAACCATTGGATGAGGAGAAAATTGATGAAGCAATTAATCAGTTAAAAAATTATAAGATTACTAGCACTGACTCACACCTCCTTCCTCGTAGAGCTGTTCAAACAGAAATCAATGGAATTAATGATGCACTTACATAATATAATATTGGACATCTGGATCAATGAAATATAACCAGAAGTGTGGAGAAATATGGTGATCTGTCCCATATATAAAAAGGGAGACATGTTTAGATGCAGTAATTTACAAAAATATCTCTGGTTCCCTGGGCTTTTAAAATCCTTTCCAACATCTTATTTGACTGACTTTTACCAATTGTTTAACAGGAGATTGGTCATTATCAATGTCATGGAAGGGCAGATCTACTACAGATTAGATTTCAACCTCAAAACTAAATTGGAGAGAGAGGAAGGAAATTCAATGTGCCCATACATTCATTCATTGACCATAAGTTGGCATATGATAGCATTCACCAAAACAATTTAAAAAATGTGCATGTAAATTCAAATATTTAAATATAACTATGATTTGTGTTATGCTAATAAAATAGTTACAGAAAGATTAATTAAAACAATCTCTAATAGAGAACTCAGGTTGTGATTTGAAGTAGATTATGCTTTAAATTTACCATAGTGGTATCAGAGACCCAAGTATCAGAATAGATATGTTCCAATTCAACTCCAATAGAAGAAACATATTGTAAATAAATAGAAAAGATTAAGAAGCCTAATCCCATAAAAAAAAGTAAATGGGATATATTAATACGAAAATTAAGAAGTTTCAATCAATTAAATTTCACAATAGGTTTTAAAAAAAGGGGTCAAAGTTCTTAATTTAAGGAATATTCCTAAACTCATCAATGGCATTGGATCCGTCCCTAAACTCGGCTACACGATGCCATCCATCAGCTCAGTTCTGAGTTTAAGAACTTGAACGTATTGTTCCATTAGTTTCCTACGAAAAGACTGATTTTATACATATATTATTTGGCTATTATAAAATTTT